CAGAAGAGAGAGAGAGAGAGAGAGAGAGAGAGAGAGAGAGAGAGGAGAGAGATGAGCAATACAAGTTTGGTTGTCACTTACCTGTGAAGTGCGCCGTGCAGTCCCACGAGGAGGAAGGAAGCAGCCATAGCCGCGAAGCTTGCACCATGGAGTGACGAAGAAGGAGGACGTGAGAGAGGACAGAGGGTTAGACTGAGAAGGGAGAGAGAAGCCATAGCCGAGGAGGTGAAGGGAAAGACGATCAAAAAAAAAAAAAAAAAAAAAAAGAAAGGAGCCGTGTGGATTGGCGTGGCAAAAGCCTGGCAGGTTCAACACGAATGGTAGAGTTTGGGCTGAGAAGGCAGGAGGAAGGCAAAAAAAAAACGATCAAAAAAAAAAAAAAAAAAAAAAAGAAAGGAGACAGCCGGGGTGAAAGGAGTTGAGGAAGGTGAAGAGAAGAAGAAGGTTGGTGAGGGAAAGTGAAGCTGGCAGCCATAGCCGACCGGAGAAGTTGCCCGACGTTGACCGGGGTTGACCTGGAGAGTTGACCAGTCATTGACCGTGCGTTGATCGGGGTTGACCGGGAGTTGACCGGAGGTGTTGCCCGACGTTGACCAGAGTTGACCGGGGGTTGACTTCAAGGTTGACCGGCGTTGACCAAGGCGTCGACCAAGACCGTTGACCACGATTCTGACCGAGCTAGAGCCAGTATAATCTCGCCAAGCCTTCAGCCTACCCCTCGCCCTATGGATGTGCACACACCCTGTGGTACTTGCTGGGTCAAGTCTGTCTGTCTCTTCTTTCTGCATTGAGTCTCTTTTGTCTAGGTGTAGGAACTCTGTGGATGAAGGATAGGGCCTTGTTGACCAAACCCCTACCGGACTAAGTAGGGCTAAAGACTGTGTCTGACGACTCGACTGTCCCAGAGGACACGAACCCTCCCAAGGACTGGTACAGACCGGCGGGCTGCTCGGTGTGGCACGGTAGGCGCGAAAAGCTGAGTTGTGGGCTGCACAACAGGCAGTCTAAGTGTTGAGAGACCTGCTGATCGCGTCGTCCTGTTTGCGACGTTAAATAATTCCCGAGGAGCTACGGGGGATCTCCTTAAATGCCTCCTGATTAGCAACAGGTCTAGTAGTGACAGCCTTAGAGTACGTCTAGGCTAGAGACCCTAGTTGACAGGATCCCTGTCCGTATTCTGTGAGTCTTTAGATTGAGTCAGTAAGTTTGTCAGTCAGGGGTTAGAGTCTAAGTGGTGAGGTTTCGAACCGTTAACCTGGTTGTGCACTAATCACCATGGTTGACACCCGTAGTGGGAAGAGCACTAGCCCCTATACCCAGGCTCAACAAGAGCAGATGGCCGCCTTAGTGAAAGAGAATAGAGAGAGCAAAGAGTTCCTAAAGCAAGTGAAATTGAAAGCAATCGCAGAGGAGCAGGCGGCGAAAATGAAGAAATTGGAGGAGGAGATGGAGGAGAAGAAAAAGGCTGCCGAGGAAGAAGCGGCAGCAGAGGAAGCAGAAGAGAGAAGACGCAGGGAAGCAAAAGGGGAGAGTAGTGGCACGACGAATGAGGATGCAAAGATGGAGAAGAAGATCAGTGAGTGGATAGCCACTTTATCGTTGGGGGAAGATGAGGAGGCACAGTTGTATGTGCCACAAGAGGAGAAGGAAGCGTTTGCCAGGGCACTAGCAACGATTGAGGACCCCCTGGGATGACAGGAGACAGAGGAGGAAAAGAAGTTGGAGTGGAAGTTGAGAATGAAGAGGGAGAAGAAGAGGAGGGAGGAAGTTAATCGGTTGACCACAAAAGTGGAGAAGGTGAGAACCTGTAGGCAAGAAGTGCAAGCGCAGGCAGATGTTTCTGCCAAAATAGACAAGATGCTGGGATATTTGGAGGTATTGAGTGAGGCCTGGCTGGAGGAATGCCAAGCCAACTAGGGTCACGATGTGGCCCTGAGTGCCATGCGGTCAAGGTTTCGAGAGTTTGTGCGCGACATGGTTACCCACGTTGGGGCCGAAGTCAGGCGATTGAGAGATAACGTGGGGAAGTTCTGTGAAGGCACCATTGAGGGTGCCAAAGCAGTAGCCACCGTCGAGAGCGAGGCCAGACCCTGCAAGGAACCAGTTAAGCTTAAGTTCCCAGACGCGTACGACGGAAAGCCTGAGGAGGATTTCGATAACTGGGAGGCTAGTGTAAACAGCTATGTTTACTTACAGCATATCGTACAGGACGACCAGGTCCTTGTAGCCTTCCAATCCCTCAAGGAGGAAGCAGCTAGTTTTGCTAGGTCCCTTGCGCGCGCGGCCGGTTGCGAGAACAACATGGTCGCTTATTCCAAGGTCACCCCGCTTCCTCAATTCTTCAAGCTCCTCAGGGAGCGATTCGCTGATCTTCGCAGGGGCGTAAGAGCCTCTGACAAACTCCAAACCATCCACTCACGGCAGTGGAGGAGTGCCAAGGCACTCAAGGCCGTTATGGACGACCTGGTGGCCGTCCCGGACCATGGGGTGACTGAGTCCCAACTGGTCCAACTCTTCTATCGTGCCATGCCTGAGCCCTTACGAGGACATTTCTTCGACAAATCCCAACAGCCCACTATGATGTATGATGCGCTCAGTAGAGAAGTGGTGTTGTTCGAGGCCAAGT